ATTTGGGCGGAGTTCCGCGATTCTATCAGCCTACGTCCGTAGGAATGGGTAGTGCGTTGAAGGTGCTCTCAGTAAATTCTGTGAAGCCGACCCAGTTAGCTTTTTTAAAGTTAATGAAGGTGCGGTTGTTCACAGAAATAAAGTCGGGAGGTTTCTCGATCGAGATAATTATGGGCAGATGGTCTGATGCGAGAGTTAGCATAGGTCGCCAGGTTATGCTATTTATCAGACCACCGCTAGCGATGGTAATATCGGGCGAGATATTACAGGTGCCCATAATTCTGGGGGGGGGGGGCTTCGTCATTCATTGTGCAGAATGTCGAATCGTCAATCTGTTCCGCCAGCTCCATCCCTCTACGATCATTTGACAGGCAGGAATGCCAAAGATCGTGATGCGCGTTAAAGTCGCCTAGCACCAAACGGTTTTCACCACAAAGTAGCGCATCTATGTTCGGGTGATATCCTGTTGGGCAACATGTAACTGGGGGGATGTATATATTGCACGGTGTTGTGCAATATGAAGGCTAGGCCTCCACCTCCATTATCTCGCTCGCGATCCTTACGTAAAACGTTGAAACCTGCACAACTCAGAAGATCTAAACGGCTGTTTAGCTTGGTTTCTTAGACCGCAGCTATCGTTACGCGCTCCCCGCTCATGAATGCAATTATCTCCTCGATCTTACTCTGGAGTCCGTTGCAGTTGAATTGTAGGAGTCGCGTTTGTCGCGGGTGTCCAGTCGTGATCCTAGGGGTAAGTGGGGTGCGTGTTGGTGGTGGTTGTTGCAGCTGTACTATCCGCATGGGCGGTTGTCGCACTGTGGTGTTGATTGGCGACGCCACTGTATGTGATTTCGGGGGCAGACTCCTACAGCATGGGGCAACATACGACGCACTCCACTCTCGTGTGGTGCGCAGACCGGAACACGACAGAAAGTGACACCAGCCAGTACAAGAATTGCACTTGACTGATGTGACATCTCGGCGTATTACGGTCTGACACACGGAACAGACTGTGCGAGGAACCAGGAGTTGCTGGGTGGTTCTCGCACGAGGATTGGAGCTGGATGAAGGTTGGGGGGGGGAGGTTGGTCAGACTGGGAGTCATGCTGTCTGTGTGAGCTCCTTAGGGCCGTGGAGGTCCTATCTTGGCTACTCGACTGGAGCGACTGCGCAGTGCGCGAACATGGTGCAGGTTGCACAGCCGTTGAGGCAGATGTCGCATTATTGCGTTGACAGCATGGGGCCACTTAACTCGTGGTCCACTCCCTATGTGTATTAAGTCCTGAACAGGTCTTAAGATGGCTCCATCCATTGCATGTATTGCACCTAACCGAGGTGGAGTTTGGATGGAGCCTTTTAGCGCAAACGCAGCAGTAGAATTCCTCGGGGCCCGGGTTGGACTCGATGCCAGCACAGGTCAGGAGGATTCGGAACAACCCTGCTGCTAGGCGTTGCTCCAATGACGACAAACTAAATCTAAAACTTACCTTTCCAAACAGGGTTAGATCGCCGAAATAACAGCCCTTGGGCGGATAAAATCCGGGTCAATTGCGGTATCGCAGAACCGGCTGTTGTGGGAATTGCCAACACTGCTATTTGTACGCAGAGGATTGTTATCTCAGAGGATCAAGTATTTGAAAATGTCTATTATGAAATGCCCGATTGGTTGTTGCGTTTCGAATGAAAATATTCCAAGTGCTGGACATAGCTGCTATGCGTACATCGGTTGAGAAAGACTGCGGTTGAGAAAGACTGCGAAGCATACCATGCTGCTTATGACATCAGAGGGGTATGGAAAAGGGAAGTTAATCTCGTCTCAACAAATGAGGGCCTTAGAGGATAACACGCCACTGGCCCTTCTTCCAAGAGACGGCGTAACGAAGAGAGTAAACTTTGCGAAAAAGTTTAAAGTTACTCGGCAGCAAGGCGGGCTGGAGCGATTGCACACTCGACCAATTGCTGAGAGGCAGCACTATTCAGTGGTACACTCCGAAGGAATAGGAGCTGGCATTGCGGGACCGCATACCAAGCTTTCCATTCCCATGGGTTGTTTACCGAGCATTTTTCAGCCAGAAGTATTTGCCATAAGTCAGTGTGCAGTAATAAATCTCCAACGCAACTACCGTAATAAGAGTATTGCAATACTCAGCGCTAGCCAAGCGGCGCTAAAAGCGATATCGGCCTTCGAGATTCGATCGCTATTAGTGGAGAAGTGCATAACAAGGCTTAACTGTCTATCAGCTTGCAACCGGGTACACCTGATCTGGGTGCCGGGGTATAAAGGGGTAGCCGGTAACGAGCTGGCAGATGAACTCGCCCGCTCTGCTGCTGCTTCCAGAATGATGGGGCCAGAACCATGCATTGCGGCGGGGCCCCATACAATAAAGGAGCTGCTCCGTACGAAGGAGAGAGTGAGCAGAGACAGTCACTGGCAACAGGCAGCAGGGATGCGTCATGCTAAACTGCTACTGGAAGGGTTCAACCTAGCCAGGCTCAGAACAATGATAAACCTCCCCAAAGACAAACTCCGACTCCTTGTCGCGCTCTACACTGGGCACTGTAGGCTCAAGAAACACCTGTCAAACATGAGCTTAGCTTCTTGGGGCAACTGCCGATTCTGCGACATAGGACCGGAAACACCAGAACATCTGATTATAGACGCAGGCTCAAGGCCCTCGGTTCCATTTATGTGAACAGGGATCACATTGCCTTAATAGCACCCAGCAAGTTGTTGGAGTTTTTCAGGGTGCTGGCACTTTGGGAATGCATGTGATGGAGGAGAGGGCACAATAGACCCTAGGTCGCAGTGCAAACCTCATATTCATATTTTATTCTATCGGTTGAGAAGGAAATGAATGCTGTGCTGAAGTTCTACGGCTTGTACATAAACTATCGTGCTTTGGCCTTGTGTGTGGTAATGACAGCTTACTGAATACAAGTAATTAAATGGTATAATTAATCTAGATGTTATATGTATGTATATAATTGATGCCATATATCGGCATTATAATAATATATGTATAAGTATTAATAATTTAATTGTAACTGGCCAATTTCTTTGTTGAATAAAATTGAAAGTGGGAGGTATTTTCATATTAATCTAAAATCTTTTGTTTGGTTACCTTTACATAGGCTTACTTTAATTTTTAATCATTTGTTTGGTTACTAAACAATGTAAAAATTTAGTAAAATTTTTGACGTTTCTTAACGTGTAGCCAAGGTAACCCCCGTAGATAACATATGGTATCTATGTTAAGTACCATGTTAAATATTGTAGCCCTCAACTTTTTATATAAATTGTGTACAAACTTGCATGCATTTATTTTTAAAATATAATGTAGATACTTTATTTTAACAAATACAAAAGAAAATAATTGTTATTTCTTTTATATTCATTTTAGATATCTACACATTGCGATGGAAAGTTCTCAAGCTGATCTTCAATATTGCAATTTTAGTTTTTATATTACAAAATTTATTTCCTATTAGTATTAAGTACTAAATTATATATTATTTAATTAGGGTACATGTATGTACATATGTACCTAATGTGCAAATATTAACAATTAGTAAATTAATGTTACTATTATTGTAAACTATAAAGTTTAACAATCAATATTTACTATCTATAAAATATATATAAGGTTTTTAACAAAAACAATGATAATGTGGTAAATAAAAAAATTTAAAGAAGGAAATTTCAGTTTGTATACACTATGTATAAATGCTTATATTTGAAATCTAATTTAAAATAATTACTTAAATATTTAAAAAATTATTGTAAGGAAGAAAATTTAGTTTGTAATGTATACAGTACATACCAGTACATGTATATATACATATATGCTTAAAACTAAATTATTTGCTAAAAGTTTGTAAAAATGTAAAGAATTATGAATCCTGTTAATTTAAAAAAAAAATTAAATAAGAGTTAAATAAGAAATAAATGTTAAGAATGAAATTAATAACACAGCAAACACGTACTTATGTTTTTTTATGTGTACATATTTTTGGGAATTGTTGTGTGTATATTGGTGTTGATAATTTTCATCACTCCGTTAATTTTTTTATCATTGGTTTTCAAATAATAAATACAGTCATTTATATAAAAAAAAAAGAAGGTAAATGTATAACTTAGGTCCCCCAACTAAGGAGGCCTCAAAAATTAAAATTTTGTTTTTAAATCGTCTTATTTTTACGCGTAGATTACAAATCCGTGAGCGGAAAGTGAATTATTTCAATAATTTATGTATATTTTTCAAAATTTATTTAACACACTGCACATATCACATATTCAAGTCACTTAGTGGTTGTTGTTGTAGCGGCAAAAATTCTGTAGAATTCAGATAAATTAGCTGTAATTACCAGTTCAGCGTGTTAAACATTTTCTTATGAAAAAAATATACTGAAGAAATGTGACAGTCGCAATTTCTTTTGCGCCGCGATTTGATGTTATGGACGAATATCGGAGATCGTCGAACTTCTTTCCGAACTGGCGGCCTTCGGCGGCACTTCAAAAAAATAACCCTGGTCGGTCCAAAACCGGGGTGTTTTCATCACGATGCAGAGTATGTGTAATTATTAATATCACAATAAAAGTGCACTAACATTGATATTATAATATAAAGTTTCAGAAACGTTTATGAAGAAGAGGAGTAAATACCCCAAAAAACTTGAACAATATGTGATTTTTCAAAGAAAAAAAATAAAACAATTAATTTAAATGTATCACAATTTTTTATTTTTAATGCATATTTAAAAAAAAAATAAAAAAAAACGACTTTTTTGGTTAATTTTTTTTTTGAAAAAATTAAAAAAAAATAGAAATATTGAATAAATTCACTTTCCGCCCACGGATTTGTAATCTACGCGTAAAAATAAGACGATTAAAAAAAAAAATTTAATTTTTGAGGCCCCCTTAGTTGAGGGACCTAAACTATACATTTACCAAAAAATTTTTTGAAAACGTGGTTGAACACATACAATAAAAAGCTTAGTAAATAATGGACACTATTGTGAACTTATAAATTTTTCGCAAGTTGTGAATAACATTAGAATGTTATCCACTTTGTACTCTGTGACACACTAAAAATTAGTTTATAATAAAAAGTATTATAAATGTATAGAAATTAACATTAAAGTTAGGGGATATCTAAGTTATTTGAGAGTAGTAAAATAGTTTAGTTGAAATGGATGTGTCGGCATTGCATGCACCTGTGGACTTTAATAAGGCAAGTAAATAGATCGTTGCAAGCGGTAACTTTTTTACTTAAATATTTGTACTTAATTATTTGTAGTCTTTGGAGGAAATGTCCCCGGAGGAGAGAATGCGTGCCGAACATCAATTGATGCATGAAAAGCACAAAGGGCATGAGGCTATGCATTCAGAGATGGTGCTTATTCTTTTCATTACTCTAATTGTGGCACAGGTTATTTTGGTGGAATGGAAAAAACGTCATTACAAATCCTACTCGGTATTTTATATATTTGCTATATACTTAAGTAAACATATGAAAAATATCCGTCATTTCATTATAGGCCATTACACTGCTTGCCATGTGGATTATACCGTTAGTGATATCGATCTGTTACAATTTCATACGATTTGTTATCATTTGGACATTGTTTTCACTGTTAACAGCATTTGTTATCAAGAAAGCAGTTAGCAAACCAATACAGCGCACAACTCCAAGGTAACAGAATTTTGATCCTTGGAAGTTTGACACTTAATACATTATTTTCAATATTTGCAGATTAGTGTACAAATGGTTTTTACTAATTTATCAGATTAGTTATTTTTTGGGTATTGGAGGCTATATTGTGATGATGGCTACATTTGTAGGCTTCAATTTTATATTTAATCAAGGTCCTAATGTTTGGATGGACGCCGGGTTGATGCTTGTATTTTACGGTCTCTATATTGGTGTATTAGGTCGCGACATATCGGAAATTTGTTCTGAGAAAATGGCGGTACACATAGGGGTAAGCACGTGAATTTTTAATTATTATTAATAATTTATGTGTATAGAATAACAATAATTTGTATCTTTAGTATTACACACCGCAAGGCATACCGACTCGCCATCTGGACAACAACGTCTGCGCAATTTGCGGGAACCAACTGTTGGTTGGCGTGAAGGAAGAGGGTATATTTGAAAATACATATAAGTTGTCCTGCAATCACATATTTCACGAATTCTGTATTCGTGGCTGGTGCATTGTGGGTAAAAAACAGACGTGTCCTTACTGTAAGGAAAAGGTTGATCTGAAAAAGATGTTTTGCAATCCGTAAGTCAAATTGAGGAGAAAGATAGTTTATTGATGTTAATTTGTAATTTAATTACAGTTGGGAAAGACCGCATGTACTTTATGGACGTTTATTAGATTGGATTAGATGGCTGGTGGCTTGGCAACCACTTATTTTCTTCATTGTACAAGGCATTAATTGGGCATTGGGCTTAGAATAAAATTCTCCTAGTCAAAATAAATCACAGCAAAATAAATTAATTAATACCACAACAAAAACTCGTTAGTGTATTGTAGTAATGGAGTATTAGCATGTAGTTCAGTTAGGGTCATATCGTCATATACTAGACTGGAACGCTACGGTACACGTATAAAAACTGAACTGCCTAGAAAAAAATTAATTTTTTTAGGGAAATACTTCAGTGGATTATTAAGTAAAATATACTTCATTTAGTATTAATATGTACGTAAAAAACTTATTTATTCTTTATTTACATTGTACAATATTATATTGTCACCTTAATTACTTAAAGATAATTCTGCAGTGCAGCATATAAGGCTTCAAATAATTTATTACAATACAATCTTTATATATTTAAGTATGTATGTATGTATGTTTAGTAAATAATAAATATTGAAATTTCTTACGGCATTATTACATACATATGTATATTGAAGAGCATTTTTGCCGATACTCGCACTTTAATACATCCGCATAAACCGTAAAAAATAAGTGCTAAATTAATCACGCTGCCTGAACGGGTTTATCAGTTGCTACTCGCTACTCTTGACCGTCATTTGTAATGATTTTTCTCGTTTTTTTCTTTAAAAAACATTATAATTTTCCAGTTGATAGCATGCATATAAGACAAAATAGATGTAATATTGTTAGCAGTCGAATAATGCATAATATTCAATGTGAAATAAATCAAAAATATTTTTTCGTACTTATGTATTGTATGTTTTGCAAACGTATTGAACTTTGTAAGAACGTTTTACTATTCCGATCACTTGAGAAACGCAAGTATGCTTGCAACAACACCGGCGACGCCTATAAAACACTTAATATGAGTACACTAAGGTTCCACAAAAGAAACTAATAACCAGAAGCACCGATCATGCTACGAATTTGTTCAAACGACAGCCAGAAAGTTAGTGACCACGGTGCCATACGTATCCAACAAGGCAAGAAACCTTTATAAAGTGCAGCGAAACCTTCCTTATTCACTGTCTGACGCAGACAATCGATGGAGCCTTTATACAGAAGACCCCTAAAAATTACGCATATACGTATGTATATAAATGGTGGTAAGAGTAATTGAGGCTCATTTTGTTTTGCATTTTAAATCGACTCTTACCTGCCCTTATCATTTGTCGGCTGATTCATTATACGTGTCTTCACCACGTCTGCCGGCGTTCCCATAATGGCAGCTACAAACCCAGCACATATGGAGGAAAGTACATGTACAGTATGGCAGTCGGGCATATTCAATTTTATCATAATCATACGCTTGATAGTGTCGTATGTTGTTAGATCGCCAAGATTGACAAGTGCCGCACGCTGTACATTCGGAACGCTGCCTTTCCAAAGACCCGCTATACCGCCACGGCGAACAATTTCTTTAAAAGCATGTGCGGCGCCATGGACACGTGCTGCTTCGCCCATTAAACGACGTTTGCCTTCCATTTGAATTTGTACCTTAACTAAGTCGGCTGGTGAAGCCAACCATTGTGCAACTGCCCCTGCTGAAACACCACAAAGCGCCGATTTCCACAGTGGCAACGTAATTATACCGTTCTCATCGGTACCCAATTTACGGCGCAGAAAGTCATAGCTGCATATGCGCACCCCGCTGTAGAATACAAAATGTTAAAAGAGGTTAGTTTTTTAAATTTCACCGAATAAAATTACATTATATTTACCTGTAAACGACATGGCGATAAAGAGCTGGTGTGACACCTTGCCACAACTTCATTGTACCCTCTTCCCGGACAATGCCAAAAGCTGTCGCTAACATGCCACGATACTGATTCGCCCAATGACATCACCATAAAATCAGGGAGAGAGAAGGAAAGTGAGAGGAGTAGAATGAATGCACTACGCCCCAGTCGACAATTAGAGTTAACGAACAGACTAATGGATAAAACATTTGCTTACTTATGGTCTTGGATGAATAATGGAGAAAGGGTATATGATGTTATGGTTATGATGCAATGTCCGAATTATTAGGATGCAGGATTTATTGAAACTAAATTACGAACACTTCGCTGAAGATATACATATGCAACTTTAAATTTCTATACTGATGTAATTATAAAACATATTGTATGTATGTATGTATAAACAATAATCTTTACTGAGGAGACTTTAAGAGGATACTTATGCAAATGTGTGCAAGATTAATTGTAAAATAAAAAAATACTTCACACTTGAGATAATAAGACATGTATGGATGCATGTTGCTAAACAACTAAAATATTTTGTTACATTTTTATAGTCACCTTTGGTTTAACGCCTAGGTTGGTTTTTAAGGTGCTACTAGCTGCTTCGCCTTGTATTTGTAAACGAGTTTTGGTGAGATCCAGTGGATACGTAGTTAATTCTGCTACGGAAGCAGCTACAACGGACACTACATAAGTACAAGCAAATGAATCTGCATAATCATACTTGACGGGACGTAACTGATTTCTTGTTGCAGGCCCTGTTGGTGGCGTCGGTGGAGGCGACGGCGGTTCGCCTGCCGAATTACTTTGTGTTTGACTTTGCATTATAAGGCTTTTGCTTTTACTTTTTTAAGTCTTGATTTCTGTAGGGAAAAAGTAATACATTTAAAAAAATTTATAATATGATCAATATGCCGTTACACATTTTTTTCTAATAATTTGATGAAAAATTGTGATGGTGACGATTCCCAATTTTGAATTATTTTATAATGCAAATATCTCTTAAAAATAAATTATTTTAATATGTACATTCATGTAAGCATTTGTCTAACAGAAATTCATAAAATAGTCACCAAAGATGTAATATGTTGTGGAAGCATAAGTCTAACTTCATAGCAAAAAAATTTAAATAAGTTATTTGAGAAGTTCATAGTGCACTGCATTTTTAAATAAAAATATTAAATGCACTTTATAATAAAATGATAAAAAAAATGATTTGAGAAGTTCAAAGTACACTGCTTTTCATATATAAATATTAAGGTCATAGATATTTATCTATTTTCTTTTCCACAGCAATAATATGCCTTTCACAATCAATTTGAACAGGCCCCTTTAATCCTATTTAAAATTGTTTTCTTCTTATCATAGTTTGTTTGTTCTGCTTCACGGTTTAAATATAGCAAATCATATACAAAAAGGGTATAATAAATTGGCATTGATTGTGTGATATTTTGCATGTGACCCGATCTGATCAAATATTTTGATTACGATTACGTCTAATGGTGTGCACATACCATTAATAACTGTGAACATACAAATGGTATTTTTTAGTTTTTAGTATCCAAGTAAAGACTAAATCTTTATCGTTATCATTGCTGGCAGACAAGTATGCTAATTAATAATGCACTTTTTCTAATTACATTTAGCAACTTTCACTTACAATTTAACACAATCCCACTTTACATAATGAATCCCCTATAGCAATCGAATCACAATCAAACACTTTAACTGAGTAGTCCCACTTTATTGCTGACACTCGAATACCTTTCCACAGTGTTATGGGCACGGTTAAGTAATTTGATAATAATTTCGATTCTTATCAATTTTTAACTAACCTCTGTCAGGAAAGCAAAAAAAAAAGTTATAAAACAAAACTAAAAACAAGAATATTCGTCGCTATTCATGGCACAATACAATATGCCGATAAACGTAAAACACACTTGAAAACTACTTTTTTAGACAAAACGTCAAAGAAAATGTAAATAAAGCCGCAATCCCAAAATAACTGCATACCGATTGACAAGTTATCCGTCACAACGCAACGCTTAAAATCAAACGTTAGGAATTAAAATGACTTTTAAGTTGAATTCAACAAACACATTGTTTAACTAGGTCTAGTATGTGTAAATTTTTTATTTTTCATTTTAAAACGTTAAATTACGTAGGATTGATTGTGTAATATAATAAGAACGCTCATTATTTATTGCATCTATATTTTAAAATGTACTTGCACTTTTAACAGTCGTGAAGGGTGGGTTTTCGATAATCCCTACAACAAATCCGTCACGTAAACGCAATGGACCAGGCCTAGCTTAGCGAACTCGGCATCAATTTTTTACATCTCTTCGTGAATAGTTTATGCCGCTAAAACAATATCAAATTTTAGTTTCAAATCAAATACTTTTTCTTAGCTCCATGAACTTCACTTTTTATTATATTTCAAACTAAATAAGCATACTTATACCTATTGAGCGTGTAAAATAATTTGTTTGCATTTACTTATGTAGGTACTCGTACAATTGCATATACACAAGCAAAAAAAAAACATATTTTACATATATATACAGACGTAAATAGATGAACGCCAATATATGTATAAAATATACCTATTTGTTAATATGTATGTTTAAAGGGTACAATATTGTTCTTACTCTTCTATGGTATAATAAAATTGTTAAACCATTTCTAAATTTATTAGTACCAATGCATTTTTTTTAGATTTTTTGAAACACAAATAGTAAAAGAAATGTAAGTATACGCATTTATATGTATGCATATGCATGCGAATTAGGAAAAAAGAAAAAATTAACGACCATTACAAAGAATTTCGTTTAAAAATGTAAAACAAACAAATTGTATAGATATTATTTAAATAAACACTCTCCCGCACGCTGCATTCGCTCAATATATTTTTTTTCATTCCATATTTACTGATATCACAACATTCACTTGTGGACAACTTTCGCTATTGGACGCATCTGTCGACATCAATAACTGTGACATGCGGTCACTGAGTTCAGCCTGTGAATCTGCCATGCCTGGCGGAACCATCCAAATGGGTTCTATATATAAAATATGAACATAAAGATTACAATTTACAAATATTGTATCTATACAATATAAAGTAGTTGTACATTTATATACATAAATTAGGTCACTTTGATTACCTCCTACATTCCAACCATTAGGTGTGCATAATCTCCACATAATCGCCGGTTGAGTTGGAGGAATATCAGCTAAAATATCACAAGTTTCTCCTGGCTTTAAAGCAGGCACTTCAATGCGCCGCTTTTGACTAGGTGCTGTTAAGTAGCATCCGTTTGGCCAGTCGATGGTACCATCGTTTTGTAGTCTAAACGCCTGTTGATGTTCACTTGGTCGTGATTGGTTAAGAATTTTCATCGAAGGCAGCGTTTGAAAAGTATGAATATCCAAATAGCAACCGACAGCTGTTTGTAAATTCCTTCAAAATAGCAAAACATATGAGACCAATGATTTTGTTTGAATTTATTTCTTTTATAATTCTTACCAATTACTCATTTCCAAATAAAATTTTGCCGCATCTTGATCTACTTGATTATTCATGAGGCTTTGGAATTGTCTAACCAAATCCTCATGATCAGTTGTACCTAAACAGCTAAATTGTTGGAGTAGTAATGAGTCAATATCGACTTCATTACCTAAACGTTGCTGTTGCTGTAATAAGTAATGTTGTTGCTCTAAGCCTTGCGGTTGTTGTTGCAGTTGGGGTATTAGAGGTGATTTCATTTGCGGTGGTGGCGGTAAAGGAATGGCTTGGCCAGAAGACAAGAAAGGAGGCGAGGATGATGGATTTATCGTTGTGGATTCAAATCCATTTGTAGCTGGTGCAGCAAATGGCACCGGCATGGGCGTGGCTGCAGGATTGATCATTTGTGCTTGAAAAGTAGGTTCACATTGCATTTGCAACTGTTGATGTTGATGTTGCTGTTGTAGATTATCAGATTGTTGCGGTTGTTGCTGTTGATGATCAAAGCTGTCGCTTATATCCATCTTGTTGACGTTCTATTGTCGAGCTGTAAAAAGGTTAAATAATAATCTTATCTAATTACTTAATGACATTTTATATTGAAGTATGTTTATTGTGATTCGTAACTGACGAAATAGCATAACGATATAGCAACTGATCAACCTACATATAACACCTTTGTCCTCTGTCCATCTCTTTGTCTGTCTATTACCTACCTTAAATGTATATATTGATACGTATATTGAGTGTTGTTTATTACCTCCTGAACTTTAGGATTCTGGTTATAAAACAATGTTCTAATTAGACTTTGAAAAGACCAATACTCACTTTGTCAACGTAAGTTTTCGTTTATCACCGATAATTTTGTTAAATAATACAAAAAATTTTCAAAGTAAATCTCGGAATTCTACTACAGATGCTGATAAACGCAATTAGTGCAACAACAAAGTAAACATAAAGAAGAGGAGACAAGAATCACTCCAATGTCAAATCCCCAAATGCACACATATACAGAGTTGCATTTTCTATTCTAATATAAAAATAATGTGTTAAATCATTAGGATATTGTTTTTAGAAAATTGTTTCACACTTACTCTTTTTTTAAGAAAATTTAAGAACTTATTAGTTGAACTTATATTGTTTAAAATCAAACTTGTACATACATATTTGTATATGCAACAATTTAGAATATTTACGTTTTAGAAAAATAATTCGTAATTTATAAACGTTGAGAAAGCATTTTTCTAAATGTATGGATAATATGAGTAATTGTACAACCTTAAAATCTTAAGACGAAATATGTTATAAAACATTTTATCTGGTAACACCAATGGAACGTGTGACACATAGAGAAAAATAAATGTGGAAGGATATTAAGTGTAAAAAAGAGATTGAAATCGAAAATCAAATCAGTCCAAGTGAAAAAATTCCATAAGGCGAAAGCAAAAGTTGGTAAATAAGTTCTGATTGGATTAAAATGTGGTAGTGAAAACATTGACCGTGAAATAAAACCATTTGGATTGTTCCAAAACAAATATATGAAAATATCTTGACAAATCAAAGGTCGTGATTAATAAGTGTGCAAATGCAAAGTGGCAACAACAAAATTAAGGTTACAATTGGTGCTTAATTAGGTTTCGAGAGATTCCCGAGACTTCGTTTCCAATTAAAAAAGTGACGAACTAGTGAGCAACCGAACACAAAGTTACATAGAGTAGGTGAGGATAGACATGTCAGACGTGTACTTAAATACATAAATAATTCGATATGTATTTAGCATTGTCAGTGTTTCAGAGGTTATCACAAAGGAGTTAATATGAAAACATAACTCTAATAACCATGTACATGTGTTTATGTAAAAATTAATTGTGGCTTTAGCATCAAAAGCTTATTTTATTCATTTTCTAAAAGTTTTTGTTTCTCTATGCCAGTCCGATTTTGGTATTTACGTTCTTCATTTATGTATGTGCATTCATACTATGTGATGTTTTTGTAACAAACCATACTGGTAATGGAAATATTATTTGTAGAGAGTGACACCCTCAAACAAGTGTCCTTAAAAATTTATACTAAACTATTTACTCTATACATCATGTATGTAATACAAATTATGCGCTCAGCGCTACTTCGCTCCAGTTCTAACTAACTATATAAAACCCTTCATGCCACTTCCGCCTCTCGCGTTTTTCTACTATAATAACGCTGTATCAACATTCGGCTGCCGTAGTTGCTAATGATACATCAATCTTGCGCTCTTTACGAGTTCTGCACCCATCTGGGATACATCTCTTTGTGGTCTGCTGTTTAACTCCATTATTTTGCGCAATTGATTGTTGTTCGGTCGTTTGTCGGTTTATGTAACAAGTGTGTTGTTGTGTTATATTGTTATTGCATTGTGCATTAAATATTCTGTTTTACACATGTATATAGTTAAATAATTAAAATTGAATGCATACATATGTCGAGACATCGTAAAACAACAATAAATATACCACAAATATAGAATATAAATATAACACGAATAAAGTTTAAATTAAAAAATATAAAAAGACGTTAAACCCAAACAAATCTAATGAATTTTGATATAAAATAATGATTTGTATAAATGCAAATGTATGAAATTAGTCAAAATAACCAATTGGCAAGTGTTTTGCGCATCTGAATATTGAAAATTGCCGTAACAATTTGAGTTTTCTAAATAAGAGTTTATAAAAGTGCTGATAAATCCTTACAAAAACGCGCATATCCATATCCTCTATTAAAAATACAAACGAAAACTCGCAAGTTTACCTAAAAAAAATTATTTTTATAAGAAAACATAATAAACAACTCGTTTCTGAAAACGATAATGTAATACCAAAACTTGGAAATTATTAAGGTATGTATGTGCATATGCATAGGTGTGTACATCAATGTATACTTTTAGAATGTAGATATTTAATAATTACTATGTACATATGTACGTTTGTATATACATATTTTATATTAGAAAAAAAGCGTATATTTTAAAGTACAACAAATTAATTTGGGATATATAAAATATACGTACATAGTTATTGTCCAAAATAAAACAAACTCATATTTTATACATAAACATACTTGTACACATAATATGCATATCGCGTTAAACCAAAATCTTTTCTTCCACAGACTCATCACGATGACTAGTCCAGAAAATAGATTAACAAACCATGGTAAGTTAATGTATAACTATTAAGATGTTTTATGAAAATAATACCTTATAAACATTTATATATATTTGAATTTGTACCCGATGGTTTAGCAGTTTGCAATAAAAGGGGGGTTTAGAGTGGGTATGAGAGACCCAGAGATTAAGTAACCAGAACGGACTTTGATATATGTACATATGTGTATCTGGCCAAGACTGTTAACTCGGCAACTTTCTACAAATTTGTTGGGGAATGTTTTATGTAGCTAAAACAGCAAAATATCGGGTTCAACCACTGTTGACTTTTTTTCTTTAATTGTTGTTGTTGTTGTTGTAGCCGCAGAATTTTGCCGAGTTGACAGACCTTGGCCGGAATAAATCCGGGTCCGTTCCGGTTACGTAGACCCGACCGTCGTGGGAACGGTTTATTCTTTTATTCTTTTATTGATAAGCTGCGCTCACAATTCTTTTTATGCTCATCGATAATTCCAATAGAGTAGACGAATAGAAATATAAAGCCGTTGACTAACGATTTTTTGCTAGCGCTGTCGTGCCTGAATGTTACTCAAATAATACGGTAAGGATCGGCGGATTTGAAACAAATATTTTCCCATTATACTTGTTCGATGTAACGGTGGCCAAATTTAGCTCAACGATGAACCAAGTAATAGCAACGGTGTTGATATATAAATGATTATATGTATATAAATACTTATCAATAAATATGTGCATGAGTTAAAATGTATAAAATTATTATATACATACATATGTATACAAAAATATACATTAGTAGGATATAAAAAAATTGTGTTGTTTGTTGAAACCAAATAGTTATCCATTAAACATACCAACTGTCAACAGTGATACAGTATTTGCCCATTTACCTATGTAGGTAACGACATATATAATACATAGTATATATATATATGTATGTTTGTATGTACACAGTAAATATATATATGTAAATCCGCGCACAAAAGGAGAAAAATAATTTTTATTGAATATAAAGCTGAAAAGGAATCAGAGAAATACCGAAGAAAACCCACGTTTATTGATTTTAGTTATTTTTAGAAATTACTTGCCTTCACAGCAGTTAATCACGAAATAAATATTCTGCAACTTTACGAAACAAGAAATGAAAAATAAAAAACAAGTCCTTTTCCACGCGCCGGCTAACTCCAATAGCTTCTATATACATATGTACAAGTATATATATTTTTTAATGTATATATATAAAATTTGTATGTAAATAAATATGTGTGACAAAGCTAATAGCTCCTACCACCGTCTCGTAGGCTCACGGCTCGTTGCTGCACACTTGCACACCTGTATAGGTGCGGTGCCACTGCTTTTACCTTCATATTGAAGGCTCCACTGTTAAAATAGCTTCGCGTTGGATATATGAAAAGGAGGAGTAAATACGTAGAATGTGCATACACAAGTGGAAAAGCCTCGACATTAGGTAAAATATTAGGATATTATAACAAGCAAACTGGAGAAAGGCACCAATACAGCACGGCAAGGTTAAATGAATTAAGGCAGGACAAGGTAATGTGTATGTACAAACATATATGTATCTATATGCATACACACACACAGATACATATATTACATGTAAGGAAAGTCACAGTTCAAACGGAATAATGTGAGGAATTTTAAACTATAGGTGAATGTGGCTGGGTTGTAAATAAAGCTGCATCAATTTTTCTAATCTGTATATCGCCAATAACGCGGCGAGTATTGATTTCTAACTATTTCGGTTGCCAGGACCATTACTTGAAATAATTAGGTCACCAAAACTCTTCCTGTTGAAATGTGCGAAGCACTCTGTAAGTTTTGACATGATATTGGAATTTTTAGACATTACTGTGTGGCAACTCTTTGTACCGAAATTTGCAAACTATACTGATCATAAATTTCAAAATAATTTTTTGTTTTTCAAACCGTTTTGATGGTTATCCCATTCAATACCACTTAAAAACACCCCATATACGAATACATACATGGTATGCCGTGAAGACAACGTCTGAAATGTCGAAAAAATTCTGTTAAAGTTTGAGCTGTTAAGATTAATATTAACAGGTGGTGTTTTGTGATTCTTGATTTCCTATATAAATAACACAGGAATATTTTCTTATTTTCTTTGGATGTTTACTGCTTTTGAACAAATTATGGTATAGTGAAAATGAAAACTTATTCCTGTAGTGAATTTAACGACTCTCACAAAATAATGCCGAAAAAACACAAAAAATACGTTTCCCAAAATGTCTTTGAATTACATGCTTCTTTTGCATTTTTATTGATGTTTTTGAACGCTATCTTGACGTTACATTAATATACATATGTATGTATGTATATCCACTTGAAAGTTAGAAAAAATGCAAAAGGGTAAATTTTTATATTATATTAATTCATTTTACAAATTTTGGATTCCCTTGTACCCATATTCGATCTCCAGGTAGACATCTGAAAAAAGGTGTCTGGCAGTGAGGAACATGTTTCTGCTTAACAGTATTTCAAATCCAAAAACTGAACTATAAATGAATACAGATAATGATCGTGGGACTAGTCATTTTGATTTTTGACAAAGTGGCAGCTTCTCAAACACAAAGCGTTTTTGTGAAGAAAATTACAACGACTCTAAAAACAGCATTTCGAGAAAAACCGAGTTTAAAGTTTTGGGAGCCGATTATACTAAGTTGACCAATTTTACAAATACGCTCATATCTATTTGCCGGATCAAATATGTGTACATACATTCGATTTATGTACATTACTATATGCAAAAACAATTAGATTTTTTGAAATCAACAAATGAATATAACCCTTACAGCTAACATCTATTACGTTTCCAACTAAATCTCCAGATATCTCGCCAAATAAAAAAGTTTCCTATACAAGCACTTGATTCCGATCGCTCGTATAGCAGCTACAATATATGCCATAGTGGTTCGATATCGGCCGTTCCGACAAATGAGCAGCTTCTTGGTGAGGAATCGTCGGATGTAAAATATCAGATCGATATCTTAAAAACTGAGGGACTAGCTCACATATACCATACATACACAGACGGGCATGTCTAAATCGACTCAGTTCGTCAGTTCGCCTTTTGGGTGTTACAAACATCGTGGCAAACTTAATATACACTGTTGCGGGTATAAACAATTTATTTGAAAAGTTTATTTAATTATCTTTATAATGCAATATTTGCCTGACTCCCTGACTATGATAACATAATACTCTTAAGCAACAAGTTGTGCTCGGGCATAATCAATCAATTGAAAAACCACACTTAGTATTTTTTTTAATATGCAGCATTTTAATAAATAATTATTTAATGTAATGTGTTAGTGCCAAAATTTGTAACAATAATAATCGTTGTTTTTTCCAATTAAAGTAAACGATCCATAAAATACACACAGGTGTACATATATATGCATGTACTCATGTACACATATGTATATATGTATATGTTAATCAAGTGTATTTTGAATGTGATTTGAGCGTTCTTCTTTCCTTAGCGTTTCTTCGTATTTTGTTTTTGTTTCTATTTTCGTCTGTCGTACTTTGTTTTTATTTTGCAAATAGCTTAGATACCCTGAGGAGCTGAGCTGAGGAGTGAGTGCATCTCCACTGAAATATTAACCCCCACAAATACGCTGATAATGCCATATATCTCACTTGTTTATACATTACATATGTACATACTATGTATATACCACACATACATACAAATATATATATATATACATATGCCTTTTGTCATTCTGTTCTTTTGTTGATATATCGGCTTGACGTTAAGTTGGCATGCCACCCACTCTTTATCCGCTCTCTTTCACCCAGTTTGTTTTGCAATAAAAATGTGTGTGCCTCTCGGAAATTCTCCATATTTTTGCTCTCTTCAAATGCGCTCCGAGTAAATGCTGTAATATAAAATACTTTGTATATATGGTTATAACTAAGTAAATACTTACTATATCTCTACATAAGCAATCGCGTATAACACTTTGTATATACATATGTATGTATGAATGCATGTGTATAGACGGCAGCGGTAGTGTTTTGCTTTTTGTTGTTTTAATTACTTGTTTCTGTTTCTAAATATACAATCCGCAGCTATGCACGATTTATAAACGAATCTAAAAATAGAACGGCAGGTCACGGCCTATTCAAACACCCAACGAGCTATGTATGTACTTGCACATACATACATACATAAGTACGCAGATAAATACAAATATACTTACATAGTATATCGAATACTGCTTTTTTTACATTTATTTGCTCTTCGACTTAATTCAATTTCATTTTGCACAGCCAGAGACTGTAAAGCTGATAAGTAAAATAGAAATAAATATTTATAATGTGAGAGCTAAAATTGTTCACATAAATCGCAGATGTTTTCTTGTAGAGTCAACCAATGGCATAAGGAAATAAATAAGTTCAGAGGCCTCAAAGGTATTTTCATTTTTACAAACTATGTGCATATATGTAAAATATATAAATATAAATATGTATGAAGTATGCATCATTAATGAGCCAATATTCCAAGAATCTCTCAATTAATGTGAAATAACTACACAAATCACTACAAACTGATATCTATACCATAGATACTTATATATCGTATATACACTCCATCTATGTACATAGGTACATACATATGTATGATTTGAACACATATATAATATATACATATAAAGATATCCACTGTTTAAAACACCAAAGTGTTTTTTCACTTTGTCATTTTTAAAAGATATAAAAAAGTGTATACCATATACACTTAGCGGCAACTTAGAAAAATCGTTAATATCAAAACCGTTTTGTAGTATTTACAGTGGTTACTAACATGCAAGATCAGGATTTGATCTCAGTTTTGGAACCATGGCAACAATCAATAACGAAGAAGTTTGTAACTCCGGAAAGGAAATATATACATGTACATACATATATACATATATAATATAAATGATCAGGTTGAGGAGCTGTGCTGATTTAGCCGTGGCCGAATGTCTGTATAAACAC